AGGACTTGTATTGCTGAAGTTCCTTGGAAAGAATTTATATCAGAAATTAACAAACAAGCAAACAAGCAACACACCTTTCCACATTTTCATAACAAAAGAGTTTTTGAAAACTACCTAACTTTACTGTTAACCAGATATTAAGCATAAATATATTTAATGCCACCATTTATATTACTACAAAGTGAGAAAATCCAAATCCTAAATGTTTCTACTTCACATGGAAATCTAAATGAAACTTCTTGGAAATTTAAAAAATTTTCATTTAGTTTTTTGTATTATATTGTGTATAAGGAATTTAGAATATCACTGCAGATTATATTTTAAGTACAATAATCAAAAGGTAATAAAAATATCTTTTAGGAATATGAAGAATATATTTTTTTCTTCCGTAGAAAAATGCCTAATGGATGGGAAAACCTATGACCATGGTGAAGAAAAGAAACTCGGAATGTGTCAAAAGTGCTATTGTAACGTAAGAAAAAACTAAATTGTTCAAATCAGCTGCTAATGAAAAACAAATCACCTGAAATGTGAAATTGTCATTAAAAAGAGTTTAAAAGCAGCCAAATTAAAGGTTTATTAGCCATTAAGTTAAATTAGTAATTGGGACCTATAACTTATTTTCATATCTTAATGCTGTAGCTAATGATTTTATTTATTATTACCAAATTTAGGTCTTTTTTTCACATCAAAGTCTTTAATTGAATTTTTATTCTGTACAGCAATTATTAAAAATACAAAGAAACCCTTTTTAAAACAATACATTCAGAAAAGCTGTATGGATAATAAAAAACTACCCAGTGAAATACACACAGTGAATATATAAAGAGAGAGAATACAAAGGATTTTCTCCTAACTGTGTAACTTAGCTCGTGATAAGTTTGTGGAAAGGAGAAAAGATTAATATGAACAGATATCTGAACAAATACTTCATTACTTGTACACCATAATACAGCAGTTTTATTTAAGTATACTTTTTATTGCGAAAATAAATGTTATATTTATTTGGTTTGTTGTATATGTATTTTCCAGAATGGTACCATGAACTGTGAAAGAATCCAAGAATGTCCACCTCTACCTTGTTCAGAAGAAGATAGTTTTTTCATTGAAGGAGAATGTTGTAAAGTTTGCAAAGGTTAGTAAGTTGTATGATGAAAAAGAAATTCTAGAGTTTAAACTAATTTTTCATTTGATTTTTTAGTTGTTTTTATATCAGAATGATTCAATTAGTGTATATTTTGAAATAAATACATTCCTGCAATAGAGGACCATTATTAGAGTTAGAGCCATATGTTCCATAATTTTCAATGGGAATTTCTTAAATTATTTCAAACATAAAAAGTAATCAACAGCAACAGAGTAAAGTTATGTCCTTTTTTGAGAGTATACTAATTTTTGCCCCTCAGTAGCTCAGTGGTATGTCTGATGTCTTATAATGCTAAAAACTGGGTTGTGATACCTGATTTGGACACAGCACAGATGGTTCATTGTGTAGCTTTGAGATTAACAACAAACAAACAAATATTAATTTTCTCATCTTAAACATTTTAATCTTTTTGCTTTTTTGTGTAATTTTGTTTTCAGGTGTCAACTACTGTTCAAAACGTCATGATTGTCACTTTAATGCCAAATGTATCAACCTTCACACCCGTTATACTTGTCATTGTAATCCTGGCTATGAGGGAGATGGAAAACACTGTCAAGGTATAGTTTGGCATGATTAATTTTGATAAATAATGTTGTTTTTCATTCTGATAATTTTGATTTCACACTTTAAGTAATGATCTTTGTGTGATATGTGATACAGCTATAAAACTGAGAGATCATTTTTCAGGTTTTTCTCTGTGCTAAAAATTACAAGACTCTTAGGCCATATAATTTTCCCTGAGGATTTTGAAGGAGGTTAAGGATTAGACACTTGCTATATTATTTGTATGTTCTTGAGTAGTTTCCAGAGGATTAGAAGTTGGCTCATGTTACTCCTCTGTTTAAAAGATGTAATAATAATTGTCCAAGTAATTATAGGCCAATTAGTCTTACATCAGTAACATGGAAAGTTTTTGGAAAATCCAATAAAAGATGTTTTGCAAAGTGGTGTAATGAAGTTTAAAATTTTGTTAGATATTCAACATATTTTTTTCACTAGGGTAAAATCTTGCCTTACTAATCTTTTATTACATTTTTTGATGTTGATGAGATGTAGATTTGATACCTCTGGATTTTCAGAAAGTACTTGACAAGATACCATATAAAATACTTTTTAGAAATATTTTTGCTGTGTGTGATGGATAAGTTAACTCATTCGATCAAAAATTAGTTGAAGGGAAGAAAGCAGAGGGTTCTTATAAGTAGAGCTTAGTCAGACTGGATTAATGTTACAAGTTGGATACCTAATGCCTCAGTGTTAGGACCTTTGTCTTTTTTGGAGTCATTTCTGTGACGTAGATAAAAAGAAAGTTCAATAAATTGCTTAAAGTGTCTTATGATATTAAAGTCTTGGATGTTGCTGGGTGTAAGGAATATGCTGCTGCTTAACAAAAGGATTAAGATCATTTGTTCAATTTGGCAAATAACTAGCAGATGGCTTTTAATTGTAAGAACTTCAAAGTAATGCACCTGGGTTATTATAATATAAATTATAAGTATAATTTTGATGGAATAACCTTAACGGTTTTATGGAAGAAAAGGATCTTGGTGTTCCAGTTCATCATACACTTAAGCCATCTAAGCATTGTGCTGTTGCTAGTGGTAGAACAAATAGGATTTGGGGTTGTATTTACAGAAATATTGAATATAAATCAAGAGTGGCTAGGCCTCATTTATTGTGTTCTGTCTTGAACTCATTGGAAAGAGTACAAATGTGGGCTAATAGAAGGATACCTTGGGTAGATAGGTTTTTTTATGAGGACTGGTTAATATCTTCAAGATTGTTTTCTCTTGAAAAAAAAAGAAGATTCAAGGAGATCTGATTTAAATGTTTAATATTATTAATGGAATTGATATTATTAATGCATCATCTTTTTTGTATTTAGTGGTGAGAATGGTAGGGGGGGGACCCAGCTATAAATTTTGGCATGTAGGAATTATCTTCTGCTCAGACAATTTTACTTTTCTGACAGGATGATTGGCTTTTGGAATGGGCAGTCTTCAGATGTGGTGGATGCAATAAATTTAAGGAAAGATGATATATATATTTAAATAATCAGGGCTGCATTTTGTTATTTTTTTTAAGTAGATGGGATGGCCCTGATGGACCATTGAGCTCCTTGCTGTCCTTGAATGTTGCTATGAAGTCAGTGAAGTGAAAATAAATGCAATTTTTGTTAAACTCTTGATAAATGCTCATTTTAATGAAGATTTCTCGGTGTCTTCATATCTAGCTCATTATTTTGTACAAAATTTGAAAAAGTAGATAATGATCTAAAGAATTTATAGGTGTGTATTGTATTGAAATGTAATAACTTTCATGTCGAAAAAGGTAAAATTTGGTGAATATTATACATGAAAGTAAGCATTACATGTGTGTTTACCTATTTATATCTATATAGGGTCGATTAGATTTGAGTTCATAGAGATGGAAAACATATATTTAAAAGAATAATAATGCAGCTACAAAACAAGTATCCAACACCAGGGCACAAATCACAGGGTGGGTCATTATTTCATTTTTTCTTTAGGTACTGGTGTATTTACTCATTTCTAGAAAATTAACATTTGATTTGTGGTTGTGTAATTGCATATATTTGTCTTTCAGATGTGAATGAATGTCTTCAAAAAGGAGGTCACACAGGTCATCATTGTCGTGATAATACAAAGTGTGTTAATGTACCTGGTAGCTATGTTTGTGAATGTTTGCCTGGGTACAGACAAGTTGATCACTATTACTGTGCAGGTAAATCTTTGAAACAGGTCGTACTTGATGAAGTCTTAGTATAATTTTTCTTGTGCATTCCTAACATTGAAAAACACATGATCTCTGATGTACAGCAAGATGAAAAATTATTCATGTGTAGTTGTAAATGATGCTAAGTCTTGTACCTTTATAACAAGTTACTTGTACAGCTAAGCTTCTGATTAATTAATTTTGTTTTTTAAAACTGGTATAAAATTGTTTGAATAAACTACAGTTATAGCATTAGATATTTTCAATAGTTTTAAAATTAGGAAACAATTTATGAAAATGGGTAGTATTATTTCATTTGGAAGGTTTTAGGATATAATATTAAATTTAATGTTCAAATCAAAGTCAGAAGTCCATTCCTGGTGTCCTTGTAAAATATCATGTAACATTCATATTGGATTTACTTCAGCTGATATTAATGTATTAACTCACAACAATTAAATAGAGTTCAGTTGTTTGAATTATATTTTTATAGGTCATTTTCAGAGAAATAAAATTAAATACTCAAATATATTCATAATTTTAATTTTCTAATGACATTACAAAAAGATGTTGAGGAACTTTGAATGGAAATAGCCAAAAAACATTACCGTGAATATGTGGTAGGATGGAGAATATTTTTTTAATCTTGTTGATTTTCTCTTGCATAATTTTGTTGTAATTTATTTGTCTATGTAAGCAACCCACTATTTGTAAATTAAGTAATATTTTAAATATATTATTTGTTAATTATATAATTTTTATCATTTATTGTATAGAAATAAATGAATGCATTACCGGTGAACATGACTGTGATGTGAATGCTATTTGTAACAACACCAAAGGAAGCTACACATGTCAATGTAAAAACGGTTATGTTGGAAATGGATATTCATGTCAACGTAAGTTTATAATTTCAAGCCTCAATATTCAATCAGAAAAACAATTTATAGTTGTTGTCAAGCATTTTGCTATTATAAATAGCAACTCAATCATTATTATGTCTGTCGTATCTCAGCTAGCCTGAAGAGCCATGATATCGGGTGAAAGGCCTCATCTGCAATGGATGTAGGAGATATGATGTGGTTGACATGTTATTTACACTCTTTATGAAAAAATTTAAATTATTAAAAAATCTTTTACAATTTTAGTCATCACTTGTTTGCTTTACATTGAGAAAAATTCTAAAATCTTTTTTATTTTCTATTTAGCTGTGTGCAATCAGACTTGTTTAAATGGTGGTCAGTGTGTGGCTCCAGGTATTTGTTCTTGCCGTCAGGGCTACACTGGACCAAGTTGTGAATTAGGTGAGTTTTAAGTTAAAAAGAAGCCATAAAGCAACATGTCACCGTAGTAATACAATACATAAGTAGGTTTTATGGTTTGATTTGTGTATTTGGTTATTTTTATAAGTACCTGTTCAATAAATGGAGAATAAAATCAGCCACCTTTAGATAATATATGTAATGATATGCACATATTTTCTTCTTTTGTACATGTACTTGTATTTATTGCAAAGGAATTATAAGAAAATTGGTCATATACAAGGAACTGATAGTGAATTAATTGCATGTAGAGAAATGCTTACTAGTAGTCCAATTTAATGCAATTTATACAACCATTATCATTGTTGAACTCTCCCCTTGCTTGAAACACTAATGTGGTTCAAGTTTTGAGTTCAGTTAACCTATGATAACTTTTGTATGTAACAAATGCAGGGTTAGCATGTGATATCAGTGAGAGTTTTTGATAACGGTTGATTGTAAAAAGAAAAAACAAATGGTAATTGTATGTGCCACTTGGAGCAATAACTGAACTTCTTGTCTTTTCAAAAAAAAGATTTTATATGGGGTAAAAGATGTAGAGATTCAATTATAATAACTTAATAGAAGGTAACCAGTAAGCTTCAACTCCTTAGAACCAAAGTAAATCCATTTTATTTTTATAAGTTGTGATGCTCAGATAAACAGCCTGTTTAAATAAGCTGTTACTTTTTAAACAGAGTAATTATTAACTGCTACCGGTTTGTAATTTTATTAGATATTGATGAGTGTAAGTTGGGCATCCATGAATGTCATCCAAACTCGGAATGTATCAATATGCCTGGATGGTATTATTGTCATTGTCGTCCAGGTTATGAGAGCCACTTTGATAATAACCATCATGGTATCATGTGTCAAGGTAAGTTGATAATTTTTTTTTCACTCATTGTATTTCTGAATGATTTATCAACTATGTTTTCTCTTAGCATTCACAAAGCTTTTCGGTACATTATTCTATATGCACTAATACATGAAAAAATGATTAATTCTAAGTTATATAAGTTCATCTACATATGTAAAATAAACATTGTTTACCTGAAAACTAATAGTCAATAAAAGTATTTGAGTAGAGTGTAATATATGAACAAATATGATTTAAAATAATAACTGGTGAAAACTGCTGAAAAACAGAAATTTGTACAAGTTCTATAAGTTTTTGAGTGTATGTATAGTTTGATGTAACTACAAAGTGTACTCTTTATTATGTGTTTTATGAATGTGGTAACTATGTTAACATACTTACTAAACTTCACTTTTCTGATGCCTGAAAGATTTATTCTATGAATTATTTTCAAAAAACTTGTAATCATTGATTTTTATGTATTATAAAATGTTTCTTTCGATATACCTTTGTTGTACTTGTTCTTTGTAGATTGCTAATAAGGAAAATAATTCTTAAAGCATAGCAGTAGAAATATGTATAAATTTCTCTAGTCTTAACTTGTTTCTGTCCTAGAAAACCCATTGTCATTTGATAAACTAATTGTACTTTTTACTTGTGGTAAAATTCATTATCTTCTAATCTCTTATTTAAGTAATTATATTGCATGTTTGAGAAGAACATTAGACTATTTTTAACTTGGAATGATTTACATTTATATGATGATATGCTTATTTGAACAATAGTTAGGTGTAATTACTATTTTTATATTACAACGTAGAACTAAATTTTGTTAGTGTGAAATGCACTAATATAAATAGAAATGAAAAACACAAAAACACTTTAACAAACTTTTATTTAATATTTGAACTAACAACAAATGTATATCACATGATAATTTTTTTCATGTTATCATGGAAGAATAATGCATGTGACTATAATTTAGAAGTAATGCATGAGCTGATTTAAAAAAGAAAAAATTAAAACAATTTAAAATGATTCATGAAATTGAAGCTTATAAAATAGTTTTAAAGCTCTTGTGTATTTTTTGGTCATATGTTTATAGTCCAGATTTTAAATAACATCTTTTTCTTTTCAACTTTTCAATGCCAAAGCTTTTTTTTTTTTGTATGAAGAAGGTATTTTAACTGAAATAAATTTTTCCTACTCTACAGACATTAATGAATGTATGGAAAACACTCATACATGTCATGGATCAACTGTTTGTATTAACAAAAATGGAAGCTATCTCTGTGAATGCCAGAAAAACTCAACTTGCTCACTAAGTTAGTTTTCTTCCATCTTTTTCTTGAATTCAGTTATATGATATAAAACCTGGAGATGTTTGTAGAAAATAAAATTCTTAAATAGTGTGTTAAGATTTTTAATGAAAAGGTTTTCTTGGTTGCAAATCTGTTTAACTTTTGTTAGATATATATATATATGATTTGTAAGTGGTTGTTTTTTTATGTATAATAAGGGTTATATTTTGATTGATATTGAAGAGTTGATTATGATTATGTTGATTCTGTATTTAACCAATGCTAAATATTAACTGTTTTATGGTATTCCAAAACTATTTTTTGTGCATATATTGAATTTTTAAAAAGTTCAAAATTCATAGGTTACTTTGCAAAAACATGATTATCAGAAAATAATTTTTCAGCTTATAGAAGTAGTAGAATTTAACATATATGAAACTGAGTTGGTGTTAGTGTTTCTGCTGTATTCACATCTGTTAATCAATTTAGGAACAGATATAACAATTCAAATATGTAGGTTAATGGCATTATAGGGTCCAGTGAAGACTTAATATTATAACTTTTATATGTAGTAAAAAAAAAGTTGAAACCAAATTATGCATGCCATTTAAGAGAAAGGTATTTTTGTAAAATTTAAAAAGATTAAATAAGAATATATGTTTGATATTATTTGTTATTGTTATAGGTTGCATATATTATGGAGCTGAGAAACTGGATGGTGAAACCTGGTTGGTTGCAGATTCCACTTGTACTGAGTGCTTATGTAAGGGTGGTGTTGTTACCTGCCAGAAACAAGAGTGTGACTGTAGCAAACCAGACACTGATCTTGATTGTTGTCCTAATTGTGACTTCTCATCTTATTGTCACCACCAAGAAGTATCAAGAATATTCTGCAATGGTGAACGTTGGGTTTATCAATGTCAAGTTTGTGAATGCTTAGTAAGTTCAGTTCCTCTGTTCAGCATTGATTTTTTTTTTACCTATTTTTTCTATGATGATCTTTTCTCAAATATTATGACCTCTTGAAATTTGTATAATTTACTCTAGCAATTGTTGGAAACTTACATATTGTTTTAAGTAGTAACTCAATCTACGTATTATATCCAAGCCTATATATTTGATTTTGTCATTTTTTGCCAAATGTAACAAAGTTTTGTAAACGTTTTTTTTAAACAAATGTTTCACAAAATAAAAACAATTATACTTAACACAAAATAATTTGAGTTCTGTTGAAAAATCAATAAAGAAACCCATCAAAGTAAATTTGGAAAAATTGATAAATTAGTTTAATAATTTTTGTGAATTCTCTAACAAAGTAAATAGCTTTATAAAAGATAAGCTTTCTCTAAGATAAAGATATAACAATATCATTTTATGTCCAAGGAAAACAAGTTTTATTTCCTTTTCAAATGTTTCAAGCATCCTTAATATATTTGGAAAATTATTTGTATGTGATATAAAGTAACACAAGCTGTAAATAAAGTTACAGGTATAAGTAATGGATTGATTAATTCTTAAAATAAAGGAAGTTAATATTTTTATTGTAACCTCTATCAATACTACATTCATTTGTGGAAAAGAGGCATGGGCTGGCTCTATGATAGAGCTCTGGGTGTTGGAGTGATGTCACAAAATATCACCTCCCACTTTAAGCTGTGGGTGCATTCTAAAAGTGACAGTTGATCAATTATCATGGATTGTGGATAATATGCTGCTACTGACTGGCTGTCTTCCCTCTGGTCAGTAGTTCAAAATTAAGGATGATGGTAGATAGCCTAAGCAGCTCTGTCAAAAATACAAGACAGAAAGTTGTTGAAATATAATTTTTTTCCATAATTTTAAAGTTGTTTTTCATGAAAGAAATGTCATACCTATTCTTGTTATACCTTACATTTATGTGAATAAAAATTTGCTTTGTAAGAAGACTAGTAACAAAAGTTTTGAGTCCAAAATACAATCTTACTGGAGTTATATGTCATTTGTCTCAGCAGTTAGAATATTATTTTAAATTATTGATTAGTCCATAAAATTAATATGGTGGCATTGTGCTGTTATGCAAGGTATTATCCAGAAAATAGAGGTGACATGAAATAAACCTTCACACACACAAGAAAAAAGGTATTAACATTTGAATTGTCAATGATTAAATTTTAAGGACATTATCATCATCATAGTTTTATAAATTAGTATTCTTAATATTCAAAGCCTTTGTCTTTAGTTTTTACTGTTTACACTGATAACAGATGTTATTTTAGCCACCAGTTTTTAATACTGGATTGCCAAAGGTTTGAAAGTATTTTACTTGCTGAAACCATGTGCTATTGTTGTTTTAGTTTGGGGAGATAGACTGTTGGGAACTTGAGTGTCCTCCAGTGACTTGTGACCACCCTGTTCGTCATGAAGGTGATTGTTGCCATCGTTGTGCAGATGACATCTGCAGCTCTCAGACATTCACCAGAGATGAAGTCAGTGGAAATATCACCACAAATCTACACCATGATCGTGGCTGTACTTACAGGGGACATTTGTATCAGTCAGGAGAACAAATTCCCATTGGCCATGACCCATGCACAACTTGTAATTGCAAGGTAGGGGTTGAATACAATCTTTTACATAGTTATACATTTTATACAGAACTTACTCTGTAATCAAATAAATTATCTTGATGTATTTATATGTAGAATGATTATTATTTTTCCTTAAATGAGCATGTATTTGTTTATTAATGCAAAAAATATTCTTTATGTAAAACAATTAAATACACTTAACTGAATTTAAGCCTTTACTTTATTATATTACATTGTAATTTTTATTCATATAATCTCCTACAATTGAAATGTACTTAATTTTGTTATTAATACTTAGAAAAATGCTTTTGTTTGTGATGTTCATTGCTATTTTTTATGTTCAAGATTTTATGTAACTGTTTGACAACCCTGTCTTTGAATATGTTTTTTTTTTTACAACTAATAATACTAACAAGTTAAATAATGCATGTATTTTGGTATATTTTAGGTTATTTTTGAGTATTTCTGATTCATATTTTATTTATGGGATTCTAACAAGTTTGCACCAGTGGCCTGTCATCATGCTAACCTCTACTAATTAACCATTTTTCATATCCCTCAATTCGTTTATTTTTCCTCTTTTTCAGGAAATATTTATGTACATTTTTGTGGTTGATTGAACATGATGCAGTTCTTTCTTAACTTGTAAAAAACAAATATTATGATGATTGGTTTGCAAATATACAAAATTACATGGTAATTACATTTTGATATTTATATGGTCAAGTGGTGCAAGTTTGTGGAAGTCTCGAATGAGCAGTTGATGAGATACTGACTGAAAAAAATCTAAGTTTTAAAGTAATATCTTAACCCCTTCTGTGTCAGGCTTTTTTTTTTCAATGAGCTAAAAAAATTTGGTTTTTTATTTCACTTTTTTTTTAAGTCTATTGTAATACACAATAATATGCAAATATATTTGGACAAGTAATTCAAAATATGGTGAGAAACAGCTTGCCCAAATTAACTTGTACTAATATTTTTTGAAACATGGAGAGTATCAAAGTTATCTCGGGTAAATCATGTAAGTGGTTAAAATGGCTAGTTGTTTACATGAAGCTTTTTAATGTCTATAAATAATTATCCAAATGTGTCCCAAGTTTCTTTAATAAATCTGTATATAGTGTAAACTTGTGTTGAGGATTCTCAGTGTTGGTTATTTTCAGACACATCTTTTTTGTACCCTAGTTTGAAAATACACATCATATTAATCAGTCAGCCTTTTAAAAATTTATATATCTACTTCCCTAATAAGAGAAAAATAAAACATCTTGAAATTGGCTTTGTCTATATTACCACAGTTAGTGTCTTTTAAGTCAGATCCATTGTTTGACACTTAACAGTTGGGTTTATTTTTATCAATAATTTCCTTACTTTTGTTTTTAAACCTATATGATATATACAAATAAGATATGTGTATTCCTATGTTATTATAAACCATAAGTACTGTACACAACTGTATATATTTGAAATACTTTTGAGAATATAAAAACTTATATTGTTCCTGGGCATCCAATTACAGGGGAAGAACGACCAACATTCGGTGAGCAATAAGGCTTATAGTTCACTTCGGTAAAAGCACAGTTATTTTTATTTTCTACTCTCACCTTAAACATTTTCTAATTTGTCACACTCTGTGTTTTCTCAGCACTGTTTTTATACCTCTGCTTTTTCCTTTTTCTAAATACATATATAACGAAAAATACAGTGACATCAAAATATTTTATGTTGCAGTTAAACTGAAATGTAAAGTCAATATCTACATACATTACTGTGAAAGTTACAAATCTTTCACCTTTAGTATTCTCAGAACCACTCCTTTTATAATAAATGTGGCTTTAGTACAAGTGTTGTTCATTGTGAGTATATTAAATTCATAAATGCATCATAAACATTCTGTACCCCTATTAACAATCCAATTGTTCTGCTTGTTGTCAACAAAACTTTGAGCAAAAATGTCATAAACATTCTGTACCTCTATTAACAATCCAATTTTTCTGCTTGCTGTTAACAAAACTTTGAGCCCTTTGTTTTTTTCTGGTGGGCTTACTTTCATAAAGATTTTTAACTTATTGCAGTATAGTGTTATTCATATATACAGAGGGATTAATTGCACTTTATAAAAATGATTTATAAGTGGTATTTCACTGCAGATGTGGCATGTAACAGTATGGGTAACATGCATATATATTTGGTTCCTGGGGAAGTTTTTGCCATTTGACATGCAATACATAGTTATGTTTGAAGAGTATTCATATAATAAGATTGGTGAACGATAAAGAGAAAAGGATACAGCATTTTGAAGAAAGGTTTAAATTTTTTCCATGGAAACAAAAATAACAAGCTCAATAACCCAAAGCAATTTAGGGCAACACTATCACGTAGAGAATGATGGTTATATTATAAAAAAGGTCTTTCTGACCCAAAAAAGCCATTTTATGAATATGCTCATATCTTATTTTACCAGTAACAAAATAATAATCAAGAATTTGAAGTTTTTCTAAGGTTCATAAGCAAAATGCTCAAAAACTTCCAGTTACATTGTGAAAGCAGTGGCTGCTTTCTTGAGAAAACTAAAAATACTGAAGGTATGTGGCTAAGTGGAATTAATGCTAATGTCCACATATGATAGAGGATCTGTAAAAAGTTTGTCAAGAGCCATGGTGCTAAACTTACCTAACCATCTTTCACATAACTTGTTACAATGGATATTGTGTTGTTGTGCATATTATGATCTGATATCAGATTAAGCATGATCAACAGTGTTGTAAATAGTTTCAAATGCAGTATGGGACCTGGAACGCTGTTTATATAAAATGCAATTAATCATCAGTGTGTATGTATGTATATACATACTGTATTTTTTAATCTTATGAAAATGAACCAGAAAAGTTTCCAGATTTACATATGTATTCACTTTGAAGCTATTCCAAAATATGAACTTTTATTCTGCTATTAATGCTATCAAGTAACAAACTGTTTCAATGTTAAACTATTGCAATTGTTTGGTTAAAATGTATTTCTCATGTATTGGTTGCGATTGTGAGCAAAAGTCCATAGTTGGTATTTTATTTTGAAGTGAAGCAAGGGCTAAAAGATGTTGAACATACAAAGTTAGATGATGTGAAAATCATAAAATATTTTTATCAATACCTGCAACAGTTAATATCAAATAGAAATAAAACTTCCATTTTTATATTCCATTTGTTTAAAACAGTTTATTCCTTGAAAAAGTACTAAAATTTCCTAATTGGTTACAGCTATGAACTGAAATAATAATAATTGTCAGCTTGAAATAAAGAACTAATTTAAGACTTGGTTTGAATCAGGTAATACTTCTGTCTAAATTTTATTTCATGAGTTGCAGTTCCTTCTTTTAAAATATTGTTCTTATGTAATACATAAAAAAACAACATGAAAATTTAATTTTACCAGTGAAAAATAAGGAATTCCACAATCTACTTGCACAGATTGATCCTTCATTGATATCAAATATACAGAATAAAACTTTAAGAAACTCATTTTAACAAAATGGCAAATAACAAAGACAAGGGAAGAATTAAGTTGTGTGTGTGTGTGTGTGTGTGTGTGTGTGTGTGTACATATATATGTTGTTGTTGTGTGAATAATATTTAAGTACATTTGTCAGTTGCAAAAAAAATGTAAATTGTTTTTTGTTTAATATTTTGCAATCTTAATCTCAAAAATGAGTAATTTTTGAATATCTTCAGTGAATACATTCTTGTGATCTTATGTCTATGTATGTTTGTTTGTACAGTTTTCAGTATGCAAAGACTTGTTCAGCATTCACTTTTTCTGTGCTTACTTTCATGTCATAATTTTTATCAGTTATTTTGAAAGTTAAAGAACTGCAGCATGTCCTCTTCACCGCACTACTACTCTTTCCATTTCCTGCCTTGTTTTTATACCTTGTGAAAAGGGAATTGTTGTTTAAAACCTAGTACTGAACTATTTAAATATTAACAATTCTTAACTTTATAATTATATTCTAATATAACATTTCTAATGAAAGAATTAATTTTCAACAACTAAAAGACATCAGAAAGAGTGAAACTGTATTTTCTGTGAACCATAAAATAACATAACTATTTCAATTAGAGAAGAAGTTATAAAATTTGAAAATATGTAATTCATTTCCTGTTATTCATAGAAAGAAAAATTACATGTAGATATTATTTTTTTGATTTGGAAAATTGGAAATTCAGGAACTATATCAATATATAACATTTTTTTACATCAGATTTTTTACCTAATTAGAAAAAACTGAACTGAAGGTTAAGTCAAAGTGGCAATTTTTTTTCAATCTGGAGTGTGATTTAATTTTTTCATACTATTAAACTTGTATGTGATTTGTATTAATATCTGGTGTTTAATAATGATTATTTGTATATTTACTTATGAAATATCTGAATTTCTGTTTAGAATGGACAGCTCTGCTGCACATATACTCCTACTTGTCTTGTCAACTCTGATAACACTGATATCTTACCCTCAATGGACAAACAGACACATATCAGTTCAGTTTTCTTTCATACCTCTGGTCACCATCTTTTCAAAAAGGAAGAGGTGGAAATGGAAAATACCCCATTATTTACAGAGGACATTATTCATACAAGTTCTCCTTTTACAAAACTACTCAAGTTGGCAAAAACAACACAGGCTCCTGACAAACAAATGGAGAACTATCACTTAAAGATACCCTTAAAGACCACTATGGAAGATAATCTAAATAGCAGCCATGGAAACACTAATAACTTGAATTATGCCAAAGGTAACCAGGACAATAAAAAAGAACCACAGGATTTAAGAGATTATCAAGGTAACTCAGAAGACCAGGACAGTGGAAAAATTTATCATGACCACAGTAAAGAATGGGTTTCCATACCAAAAGCTAAAATAGAAGGAAGTCCTTTGTTAACTACGCCTCTGTCAGAGTCTTCTTCAGTGAACAATGAGTGATTTCTCATAAATTATATAAAGGAGAAAGGACAGGAATATATTGGTATGAGGGTCAAAAGTGGTTTTTTTGCCTTCAGCTCATATGCAGTGTCTTTGTGGAAGCTCCATCTTCCACTTGCTCAGAAGTTCCAGTTTAGTTTCCAGGGGTGGTTTGAAGGAAAAAAATGGTGGGATAGTAGCATTAATAGAGTTGCGCCATGTTATAGTTGAACTGCTGGTCATTATTGTTGTAGCGTATTGAAAGAGGATTTGTATTATTTTCTAATGTAGTCATGTTGAAATGTACAGAGCTTCATGTGCCATTCACATATTATAACACATATTAGGTTGTACAGAGATTGTGGTATATATTTAATTTATTAAAAGTTTGTTTTCGGGAGATTATTTGACAGTGATGATTGAAAATAGGTAAGGTTTAATTTTGTTAAATTGGTTTATTATTGCCTGATTTGTATATACGTGATTCATTTGCCTAATTGGGCATTTTGTTGTACCTAATTTATTGCCTCAATTTATTTTCTTACTAACTTAAATTCAAAATCATTATAGTTAAATCTGGAAGAAATTATTCTGTACACTAATTAAACGAGCAGAGCTATCTTGTAACAAATGTACAGTCTTAAAATAGGAAATTAGTAAGGTAGATCATGTAATATTAATTGTGAAGATAATATATAAACATATGTATAAAGATATATAATTATGTACACACATATTGCACACGACTGCCAGAAAACATTTGCTCTAGAAATCAAGAAATTACTTGATGTATTCAGATTGCTGTAACTTCAATATATATATATTTTCTAAACAAACTTTCTTTTACTTGATCTTTAGAATCAATGTATTTGTTTTCATAAATAATTTGATTAATATATCTAGTCATTATTTTAGTCATATTTCTCAATCATTAACTTTGATTGTTAGAAAATTTATTGAAAGGTTAGTATTTATCTAACACAAAATTGTACCTCAGAGTGTTGTTCCTTATTGAATCTTAAAGAAAATATTACTTGAGAAAGGAGTTTGTTCCCAATGCCATACTGAAGTCATTAACCTTTTCATTTAGTGTTTGGAAATGCATTATAATTTATTATTCCTTACAAAGATTCCATTCATATAAGATTAAAAAGTGTTTGAGTAATACTATTAAGAAAAATTAAATGGAAAATTTGGAAACTACCATTCATATTTTGTGAAAGCTTTTTGTTTTTCATGTTGATCCTTCTTTTCATAGATATGCTAAAATTCATAAGATTCTTTGCATTTGGTTAAATAAAAACAAGTATTATGAATGTGCCAAACCTAAATTCCCATATGAAAAATAATTTTTTCTTTACTAAACGCATATGAAATAAACCTTGCATGTTATGTGTGTGTGTGTGTGTGTGTTTGTAGTAATGATTTATACATAACTTATATTTTATCTTTATCTTAAACTTACTTTTGAGTACACCCACCTTGTAGTGCTATTAAGTTTATCTTCTACTGTTTCCCTTTTTTCAAAAAACAATATTGTATACCATGATAAAAAAATCAAAGATTTATATCACAAATTGAGTGCTCATGTCTTAAAACAATCAAACTCTTTGTGTGACTTAAGAGCTAATATTCTAATTTTATTAATAGCCAACATGGCACTTTGTTACACTATTTGTATAAGAAATAGCATTGTTATGCTGTTTTTGATTTATCATAACTACATCTTTATTTCTTTAAATTATTTTCTTGTTACTTTTAACCACAAGGAATGACTCTATGACTTTTATGAATTACTGGAATGATTATCAACATGCATAAAGCCTACCTTTTAACTGTGCATCAGCCTGTAATACCACATATATCTAGAGTCAGATTCATATGCTATGTGTCATATTATTACCTTGTAGTTGTTCCATATTATGTAGTTTAAATAGAAATAAGTGACTCTATTAGCTTGAATGACTGAAAATGGGATAAAAAATGTCTAGCATTTTAAAATGTAATATGGCACTGGTAGAACATTTTCTAGTTTTTTATGAGAACTTGAGCTTTCTTGTTATTGATAGCTTTGCAAAAAATACTACTTTTTATCCCATTTTGACTTCTCACAGCTAACATGAGTTAATCAGTCGGTGAATTGTGACTTGCCTAGCTATGCAACATGTCTTCCTAATAATGCTCTGTTACTTGTGTGCAACCATGATTATCCTGGATTCATAGCTACATTTGATAAACTTACTCATTACTTTAATTGTCTCAATGTTGTTCTAATAACCTTGTCGAACTAGTATAAGAAATTTCATTAATAGTGTTCTAGTCTTATTAAACACCACTGTTCCAGTTATAAACACTTGATTGGTGTTTTTATTATTTTTTTTAATTTTATAGTTTTTAATCATCTTCTACAGCCTTTTGAAAAGAAATATTGGTGTCTTACATGTAGCAATATGTAGAAGATACCCAGTACTGTACAAAATAGCAGATTATCTCACATGCAAGCAGTATGTAGAATTTGCCCAATACTGTACAAAATATCAGATTAAAGTATTAATGACTACAACTACAAATAAACAAGAGCAGCAAACATTTGAAAAATAGCACTGTGCAAAGAGATTTGTGATGCTAGCTACATAATTTATTGATAAATGGTTACTATTACTGAGATTAAATCAAGGTGAATATATTTTATTAAAACATGTATTAAAAATTTTAAATTTATTTTTAATGAAGTATGAAAGCAATTATTTAATTAAACTAAAACTTTAAAAAGTAGCCCAAAACATTACGATTATGAACTAAAAAAATTAATGTAAAATTATGAATTGGATGTATTTTATGTAACTCAGAATCAGTTAATGATTCTGGGTAATTTTTTAAGTTATCAAAATATAGAAGTTAGATACAACTTTCATTATGTGGAAATATTAAGCTATAAAATGAATATGTTAACCTTTATCTTAACAAGTTCAATAAGTTTAAGTATTATTGAAAAATACTTCATAACTCAGTAGTTGGTATGTACAATATTTTATGTTTTTTAAGTGTTTTATCCTTCAATATATACAATTTTGAGAGTAAGTTAATTCCAAATTATATTTTGCTATATAATGTATAACAGTATGATTTTCAAAATGACCATACTTGCATCTTTGATGTAATTTTTAAGCACAATTAACTAATACTGTTATGAATGTCAACAGTCAAACACTTCAGTATATAAATATTTGAATACATATTGCTGTTGTAATTCAGCATTTCTAGTCTTGTTACAATGTGACTCATTACCCTTATAGTATTTACAATGGTTGCACAAAAAATGATTTTTTTGTTGTATTTAACAATCAACTGATGATTTGACATTCTTTGAAACTTCTTTTTTTTTTTTTTATTAAAGAATGCACAATTGTAAGTTTATTAGTCACAAAATGTTACAGGAATAAATAGGTAAAAACTAAAGGTGTTTTCCTAATAAGAAAAAAAACATACTGTAGTCTGAGAGATTAATGGAGTGATTGTAAATATTAACAGAAGGTAGCTTGTACACCTGTATCTTGATATATAAATCTTTGCTGTTGTCTGAAAAGTTTGCACTTCGATTTCCTGTTGTATTGAACCAGATCTCAGTGTCGAATTAAAAGTCATTCCTGCACTATCATATTTGTATTAATATGTGATTTTCATTACCTGAGTGAATCAAAGCAAACACCAGTGGAGTCGTTTTACTACAGTCTAGTTTTTGTAAGATCACGATTGCTTGCTGTAACTTTTTGCAGTCATTCATAAGAAAGACAATTTGGATTGTAATCTCATCTTAAGTCTTCTCCTGGAGTGTAGCAGTAACATTGGGTTATATTGATGTACAAGAATTTCTTTTTGATAAAGTGGTGACTTGTAAATTTATGCAAACTTAATTTCCCAGAATATTCAACAACAAACTAGTACTTTCGAAAAATTGGAATTTCTTTCATTAAAGACTCTTATTAAGAAAGAGTATTGTAGAAATGACTGACAGTAGATATAATATGAATAAGAACATGATATACAATATTTATATTGTTAGCTGTAATTAAAATCATGCATCTCTATAGCTAATGACATGTTGTACAATTTATGAGGTCTAATCACTGTATATACTAAGGGAGGAGAATGGGGTCTTAACAACTGTTAAGGTAAGGGTTTTTAGTTGTGTTTAATATCACTTTTTAATTACACAGGCCTGCGATAGTTTTATTGCCTTGAAATGTTTACATGTTCTACAGAATTTTTTGTACGCTGAATCTGATATCCATTTTTTTCCATCACGTACAGATTTTTCACAAAACATCATAACGCATTTCATAAAAAAAAGACCACTACACGTAGTTTTGCGACTAAAAGACGTAGATTTCACTCAAAAAATCAGGATGAATGAGGATGCATGTTCGTTTGACATCAATGTTCTTCCCTTTTTTAAGTTTATTAGTATTTTTGTTAACAAACATAATAATAAAAAATGTTCATTGCGGTAAACGAAATATTAATTTGATCTAAGTAAGAGTTTATTTCTTCCCGATTTTGTAAAAAATCCCTACGTGATAGAAAAAACTGAATATTATTTTCGAAATCTGCGTAGCGAAGTTATGGGAAATATGTTATTAAAACCAAAACAACTTTTATGATGTTTAAATTCGGAAGTTTGTGTTATTAAATAAAAAGGTATAGATAGATTGGGAGTCTTGGAAATATAGGGTGGTCTGTTTCTACTATATGGATATTTTTGCCTTTTTGTACATCTTATAATATCAAAAAAAAAGGTGAAGGTTGGGAGCTTTACATTGTGGAATTTTAGGGTGGTTTAATTCTACTTAAAGGATATATCAAAATATTAATGGTTACCGTCTTCCAACACCTGACTGCAGTCAGCGAAAGGCAGTAGGAGTTGAGACGTTGTGGGTTCAAGCACTCAATTCCTAATCCTTAACTGATTCTCCTTAGTTGTTAGCTAGTTTCATATCAGCGTCTGAATCTTGTCTAGCGTTGTAAGTCCACAGACACACCGCTGTGCCACTGGGGGCCACAGTTAAAGTAATTAACACGATTCAACAGGGCCTGAAAAACGACGAGAAAATAGCATAGGTTATCTAAATCTCGTAGAAGATTTTAGAATCCGTTATAAAGGTTTCATATGCGAGTTCTAATTTAGTTCTAAATCGGCATGTAACTAAGTGTAATGCACAGTTTTTATTCGTTAAGTTGCAGGTTTCCTTAAGTATACGTTATTTAAACACTTGGGATCAGAAGTTATTGATAACTATCGCTACATGAAATGTTATCTATGAAAATGCAATATACGGAAGGTCTTATTTATATTGTCCCATATCGGACATACATTCTGCTATTAATACAACTTACAAAATCACCGTTATCATGAAACCTTTCTATTATGTATATTTGTTTCAAATATGCTTTCGTCTCTCTTTTAAATTCGTTTCCAAATTACAGAAGCATAATGGAATAAGTACATATTTGCTAATATAAATGTCATATAGATCCTGAAAATGACATAAAACGTAATATGCTAAATGCAGAGTGACAAAAATCTAGGAAATATGTTGTTAGATTGTCATTTCATCGGATTATTTACTATAGCATATTTTAATCCCTTCACTTGCGCTTAATCCTTTTAAGAATATAATGTTGGCTGCAAGACGATAAGTAAATCAAATCCTTTAAAGAAACGTGTAGTAATGAAAAGCTTCAACTTGGTTGTTGGACTTTGATTTACGTATTCAAGTTTATACGTCAGAAAGCATGATAGTTAAAATTTATTACAACTCTCAATTCTATAGATATATTTTCAAAGTCCAAACTAATCTTTCGAAGTTCTCTCATGACGTGGATGGCGTTAATGGGGCAGAGTGGGTTCTATAATTGACCTTCAGATGAAAATAATGTCACTTTGCGTATTAAATTCTTGAATAAAATTATCTGAAATAAATATTGCAGTTGTATACGCGATAGCGATAAAATATTTTTTTTTATGAATTTGTCTTACATAATTAGTACTTTTAATATAAACATTAGTTGATGTATTTAATTTTCAAAATGCCTGACGTCTCTTTAGCTATTAAAACTTTTGTTCTAGTTCTGCTAACTATTATTTGTTATCATTAATTGATAGTAGTAATGGCCTTAACGTTTATGTTTACCATGTGTTGTAAATTAACAGAAACATAAACTGTGTTCCTCAAATATAGATTTATGTTAACTATATAACACAACTGATTTCTGCGGCGACATAAACAACCCCTAACAACACAAAAGGCGTGCAGTTAATCAATTTAATTGTTTGTATTTGAATACATTGTTGTGTTGTGAAGTAATACTTTTATTATGTGTATAAAGATTGAGAATTTGAACACGAACACTGTGCATAAGCCAACATATATGCGTTATATTTTGTTAGCACAAAATAATTGCATTGTTTTAAACTTAAACTACTGTTGTAACCATTCAAACATCAGACTCGTTTTCCAAGAACACCAATTACAGTGCAGTCTTTTAACATTGTCCTGCATTCATTCTTAAAATTATTTTCATCTTTAGATGGTATTTCCTTAATTTCTAAATTATTTAAATCTTTAACTAAGTTCATGAAGTAAGTTCATATCAGCTGTTCTCATATTCTTATATATATATTAGTTCGACAATAAGTTTAAATGTTTTAAGTCTCCACAGCAAGTTAATCAATTTGTAGTGCTTGTACTTTGCTTTAGCCTGATACAAATATCTTTACCTTGATTGGCAACAATGAATCAGTCACATACTACTGAGTCCATGGTCTCTCAAAATACTTTTAGGTACAGCACAATAAAGCAAATCACTCAGTATCCTATTATAAGTTTTGTGTAAGTTTTTCTTCCATTATTCTCAACCCATTTTCACTGTTCTGGAAACTTCTTTTTGAAGGCCTATTTTTATGCAGAAAAATGGAATGAAACGCCCAAGAACCTGATTATTGTAACAATATTTTTTTTAGGGGAGTATGCAAAGTCATCTCAAGTGGGTAGCAAGATGAACAGTCGTTTTTATCCATTCTTATTTCATGCACTGATGAGACAATTTCAAAGTGACTCTTGTCTGCTTTCTAGAATATTTTGCCATCATAATTTGTTGGTTCCTTTATATGAAGCGGCCGAATGTGGCTTAGAGGTTAGCGGGCTGGACAGTGGAACTGAGATTCGTGATTTGCTTTCTGTTACCGATAAAGAAAAATCGTGTTCGGATTTTGGTGCTGTGGGTGCATTATAACAATGATGGTCCCGCTATTAGGTTAGACAAGAGTTGGCAATGGTTATTGTTGACTAAGTGTTTTACCTCCAAACTATCACCCCAAAATTTTAAAAGGCTAGCCCAGACAGTTCTCGCTTAGATTTTGAACAAAATTCAACAAACAAACAAACATACTCTACATGCCGAGAGTACAGAAGCATTTTCATAAACGCTATGGTTGCACGCAGAGATGGTTACCGTCATATAGGATGTAACCGTATACACTGATGCATTATTTTCAGTTATAACAGGCATAGCTTAGATGAATAAAGATATTCGTATAACATCTGTGGCTCTAAGTAACATGATGTTGCTGACTGTAGAGTAGTCATTACCTGTTATCTCCTTGCATAAGCTAACGGGGATCCAGGTTTTCTAGTCCAAGCAAGCATTACTTTATTATCAAACATTCAACCTAATTCTGGGTAGAGTCTCTTTTGCTTAGTGATTTTTTACCTTTCTTAAAACAATAGTTAAATTGTATTTCAGGTATTCCTGTAATTTGGTAATATCTATATTTACATTTATTTGAATAGTGGTAACTTTATATCTGTCGCTTCTTGAACAGCATTGAGCTTGATATCAATGGTTTTGATAGAAAAAATAATGTAATCATATTTGTACGAATCCCGATTATAACTTTTTTCGTTCAGGAAAACCCTTTATATTTTTTGGATCTAATCGTAGCATGCCAAACATTCTTATCACATTCTCCCTATATGATTTGATTTGATTAAGTTACTGGTTTCGGTGCGCCATTTCGTTTATTATTTGTTAAAAGTTTCTGCTGTTCTATTTTCCAGTTTTGCTGCCATTGTCATGGTTACAGCCTTCAAATTTATTTAAAAATCTTGTAATGCTTCTTCAACCTTCTGATCACAGTTTTTATAATTCTATTTTGCTTGTTAATGACCTGACTTTCTATTCATTGTTGACAGATCTCTAAAGTGGCATAAGTTTCTTTTTAAAGCATGAAACCTGTCTAAAGTTATCATTAATTGTCTTTCTACAGTTAAATAAACGGATATATTACAGTCTTCCACTTCATTATTTTTTAGGGGGGGGGGGGTGATTGACAGATGATTTAAAGTCTTACACAGAAACGTAAACGTCATAATTGGCTGAAGTAAAATCATAGTTAAGCGAAATAATCTGCTGTAGTTCTGCTTGATGTAGTTATTAACAAGTATAATAGATTTTAAAAATAATCACAATTACACGTATAACTTATTCCCATGGAAGTAAAATATTTCTGAAAGTATTACTCTTAATTTGAAACCTAAGCCAAAACAATGTATGAATGTCAAACAACAGTCTAACCCACTAACTGCTTAAATTGTAACT